ACCTAGCTCGGTTAATAAAATGTTTATTATATGGCTGTGTCTTATATGCCAATTTTTTATATTCTTTGTACCTTTTTTTTCTAGACCGATCTAGATGCCGGTCTAGATGGGAAAATTTAGACCGCTTTCAATATTGATTTCTGCAAATCAAATTCGTGAATTCGGTAGTTCCCAGTCCTTGTGAGACACAGCCATATAATAATCAGCGATACGACAAACAAAACGTCTACTAAGATATATTTATATATTTTAAGTGTAAAAAACAGCCTCGTTCTCAAGGCGAGAGAAAAAACCTTGGTAACCAGGTTGACGTAAAAATAATTTCCTTTGTTCAGAGTCATCCTCAACTCAGAACTTAAATATAAACCCTTGTAGGTAAATGCTAACGGTTCTACGCCACGATATCGGATTCAGAAATTTGTTTGACCAAATAAATTTGCAGGAAGGATTGATTTGACCGACATAGAATAAATACAAACACATGCAATGTGCAACGTTTATTGAGGCTCCCCTAAAGGGGCTTTTCAGCCTCAATGTAGTAAGGTTGAGATCGGACGTCTGCATTTTATAAGGCGCCTTCGGCAGCCGCTTTAGTCCATGTAGCGATCTCACCTTCCCATCCATCCCACCCAGGGGAGGACATCCACCAATGAAACTCGTAGAAAGAAGAAATGACTAAGAAGCTAGCAACAACTAACGTAGTTCAAGATAACGGAAAACTACTTAGTCGAAATTAATTATACTAATAAGAGAACGTATTGCAGTAAATGGGTTGAACCCGGGGGTAACATGTGAAGGTGTAGTCTGATCGTCCGGGTGAGTGTAGTCCTGAGAAGGACTGTTGTCGATGTTAGTGACAGACGTTTCGACACAACGACAACTCATTACGGACGACAGTTTACAGGAAGCCGACACACACCGACAGATTACTAGACGAGTCATCCTACAACCCTACATCACACAAAGCCACAACTATCAGAACTCTAACACGACGCGCACAACTAGTATGCGACTCGACAGACAGCTTATCCGACGAGAACAAATACCTTCACCGTGTTTTTACGAAGAACAACTACAACAACGACTTCATCCGACGAAACACTCACCGACCCACTACCACTACCGAAACAAACGACACCGCAACCCCTACGACTACAGCAACCATACCGTACATAAAAGGCATGTCTGAAAACATCTCGCGCATCTTACTACCCTTCAATATCCGCGTCGCCCACAAACCCATCACCACACTACGTCAGTTACTAACCAACGTTAAAGACAAAGACGAACCGAGGAACAGACAGGGAACGATTTATAAGATCAATTGTTCCGACTGCCAAGCCTCCTACATCGGTGAGACTGGCAGAAACCTCACAACAAGACTGACTGAACACAGACGGGCGACGAGGAAAGGTGATGTCAGCAATCACATTGCTGAACACCATCGACTTACCAACCACAACATTGACTGGGACTCTGCGCAATGCCTAACCTACAGCACTGACTATTTTCAACGACTGACTCTGGAAAGCTGGTTTACTAACTTAGAACAGACTCCCCTAAACAGATGTCAACAACTACCCGC